GGGCTCCACGTGCCGGTGTCCGACCCGCAGCGGAGCAATGGTCTGCCGGAGGCCGAGCCGGAGGAGGTGGCAGCGGAACCGGGCAGAGCCCCCGCGCCAGAGCCCGTCCGCTTCGGATGGGTGAAGGGCGTGATGGTGAGTGTGACATCCCTTGGGGAGCCTCCTCCCGCCCCCCCCAGCAGGGGCACGGTGTGTTTGCCCCTCATAGTCACTTTTTTCCCAATATATACATATTTTTCACAAGCATCTGTGCTCTGAACCATTCCCCCGCCCACCTCGGCAGGGTGGGTTTCGCTCGGAGGAGCAGGAGAGCCGGCGGGGCCCCGTCCGTCCCCAGTGCCGCGCGCTGACCGCCAGTGCCCCTCTCTGCCCCCCCAGATCCGCTGCATGCTGAACATCTGGGGAGTCATCCTCTACCTGCGCTTGCCCTGGATCACCGCCCAGGCGGGAATCGGTGGGTGCCGCGGCGCAGCGTGGGCAGGATGGCAGCAGCGGGCTCGCCGTCACCCAAAATGCTTGGGAGGGGTGGTGGGGTGGAGATGCTGGCGGCGGCAAGCACAGGGCGACGTGTGGGGTCCTTGCGGGTCTCCTAGGGAAGGCAGGGGGGCCGCGGGGCTGGGGGGCTGGCAGGGGGGAGCCCGAAAACGTGCCGGGGAGGCAGCTGAGGCCGCGGGGTGTTCCCGTGCCTCACAGGGGGCACCTACTTCCTCATCTCGCGGAGCCTCGGGCCGGAGCTGGGCGGCTCCATCGGGCTGATCTTCGCCTTCGCGAACGCGGTGGCCGTGGCCATGCACACGGTGGGCTTCGCCGAAACCGTCCGGGACCTGCTGCAGGTACGAAAGCAGCTCTGCGTGTCCTCTTATTTTTGTTCTCCCTACTTATCATTTTGTAACGTGTATTTGCCTGGATCATTACGAAAGGGGAAAAGAGTTAGATGAAGAAAAGTTTCAAATGTCATTCCTATTTCTAGAAGGTTTACTTACATGTTTTAGACTGTCTTTGTCATTCTTTATTTGTTTTCTATATCTACTTAATTCTTCTTTCCCCCCCCTTCCCCTCTTGTTTAAGACAAACAGATCAAGTTTATGCACTGAAACATAAAACATTCCTTGGGAAGGTAAATATTTGAAGGAAAAGGGAATATTCATTACTTATATCACAGATAACTTTCAGATCATACTCAGGGAACCTCCCTTCGTATGTATGGATTTCTCCTTAGACTTACAACAAAGAAGCAAACAAAATCTAAGAAAAACAAAAAGAAAAAGCCATAAAATAAGCACAATAAACAAAACGAACACCTAGTCTCTCGGCAAGACTAGGTCAGATACGTCCCCTCCACCTCCTGCATCCTCATCTCCTCCAGCCCCACCTCCTCCGTCAATTATCAATAATCATGTTCACGTCAAGCTACCAACAATCAACCACCGGCTGCTAAAGCTCGCGGCAAGCCCGGTGGTTTGGTAAGGGAAAGGGCGATTTCTGCATTGCGGGCGGTTCCCCCTCCCCAGGAGCACAACGCCCTCATCGTGGACCCCACCAACGACATCCGCATCATCGGGGTCATCACCGTGACGGTGCTGCTGGGCATCTCCCTGGCTGGCATGGAGTGGGAGGCCAAGGTAACGCTCGCTTCTCCCGCTCACCCGATTCCCTGGGGCTGACGGGAGCCGTCCTCACTGCCCGCCGGGCATCCGGGGAGCGGAGGATGCTCATAGCTCCCCGAAAACAGGCGAGGGTTTCTCCTGATGAGATTTTCAACCTCTCCCAACCCCTCAGCTATATTCTTCTGCTTTGGCAGGCACAGATACTGTTTTTCCTGGTCATCTTGGTTTCCTTCATAAATTACCTGGTGGGGACGGTGATCCCGGCCACCGCCGAGAAGCAAGCAAAGGGCTTCTTCAGCTACCGAGGTGGGTCCAGCCCCGCGTTGGGGTTACGCTCAACAGGTCCAAGTGCACCGCTGGAGCCCGGCCCGGTGCTGCTGTTGGGAGAGGAGTTTGCTAAGGGAAGGTGCTCCTCGCTGAGAGATGTCATTAAAAGCGTGGCGTCTTCCTCCCGTGGGTTACCCACCATCAGTGGTGTGCCCCCATCCTGCACCGAGATGCTTCAGCAAGGACAAAGGTGGTTGGGAGGCCCCAAATTCTTCTCCTCTGCTTCCTCCCCAGCCGACATCTTTGCCCAGAACTTCGTGCCCAGCTGGCGCGGACCCGAGGGCTCCTTCTTCGGCTTGTTTTCCATTTTCTTCCCATCAGCAACCGGCATCCTGGCTGGGGCCAACATTTCGGGTGACCTGAAGGTGGGTTTTGAGTGCTGCTGGCTGAGCCGGCGCTTCGCAGAGCTCGAGCCCCATTTTCCCCAGGGCTTTGGTTTTGATCCAGCTTTTAGACCCTGTTTTATTTCTTCCGGAAGCTCTGGGGAAGGCTCAGGCAGGAGATGCCCTGTGGCTTTGTGTCGCAGTGAATTACAATTCCTCTTGTATAGTAGCCGCAATTAAAATGCCATTTTCGCGGCGCTGCTGGAAAGGTGTCTCCCATCTCTCTGTGACTTCCTTGGGCAGGATCCCGCCGTGGCCATCCCCAAGGGCACCTTGATGGCCATCTTCTGGACCACCATGTCTTACCTGGTGCTTTCCGCTACGATTGGTAAGCAGCATCTCCTCGGGGACCCTCCCGCTCTGAAATGGGTGCCTTGGGAGGATGGAGGTGGTGGGAGCCAGGAGTGAGCTGTGGACACCAGCACCGACATGCCGGGGCGAGTGCCCCAGGTGCCAGAGCTCGTTCCTGCCCCCACGGGGGACAAAGTCCTCCTGGGTGGGCCAGGCAGCTCGTGGTACTGCTCATCGCCATCGTGCAGTGGGGCAGCCCCGTGGCGGGGACTTGGGGGATGTCACAGGCAACGGTTGCGTGAAACCGCAGAGAGACACTGGCCCCGCTCCGGCTGCCGGGA